TGTGGGGCTAGAGCCAGGAGCTGGGCTGGGAGGGGAGAGGGGCCCAGGCCCGGCCAGCCAGTGGGCATGGGGTGTGGTAGGGCCAGCAGTGGCAGAGCGCCGAGGACCCCCACCCCCACCCCCCGATCTTTGGATCATCACGACCAGGGCTCCCCTTGTAATTTTAGGTAAGCACAATACAGTAGGCGCAGATTACCTTCCCGTACACAGCAGCCCAGTGACCACCTTGCTTCCTATTTAGACCACAGGTGGGTGGGGGGGTGCCCCCACCCGCACAGGGTGCCCTTGTGGAGGCAGGGCTCCTTCAGCCAGTCCTTCCCCGGGGACCTGGGGGGTTTCCAGCCTCGCTGCTGCTCCAAGTGCTGGATGCAGTGACCTCACCGCTCCAGGGGCAGCGAGGGCACTGCAGGCTCCTGGTGGCCCCCACCTGCGGAGGTCACAGGTGGAGCTGGGCCCATCCGCTAGGCTAGAAATGGATGCTTCCGTGTGACTTGCATTGCCTTTAGGGAAAAGAATTCTCGTCTCTTTTATTTTCCTGCTAGGAACCGTGTGTTCTTGCCCTCTTTGTCTTTCTCTGTGGGAGTGCAGCTGTCCCGCCCCTCCCCTCCCCCAGCTTGTCCCTTGTCATTTGCCTTTGCTCAGGGTGTTGGCGTCCTCACGGTGTCCATCCGGCTAGGGGGCCCTTTCCTCAGGGGGCCGCTCAGCCCTTGTGGCTGCTCTTCAGCCTGCCTTTCCCACCCACTGACCAGGGCAGCCTGGATCCCTTGCCCGCCCGGATGAGGCTGTCTATGGGCTCTTCGTCTCTTCTGTGGATTTGGCGGTCTCCCGCTCGCCACGTCCACACCACTTAGGTGCCTGCGGCCCTACCGTGGACTTTCGTGTCTGGTGGGATGGACTGTCTGTCTTCGGGCACGTCCTCCAAGGGTCGGTCCTTGCTGGTCCTCCCCTACTGAGTCTGTGGTCACCTTCCAGAAAAGGTCTCATTGGTCGAGCACCTGGGACACCAGAACTCAAACTCCCTGCCATCGGTCAAGTCGGTGCCGACTCCTGGCGACCCTACAGGACAGGGTAGAACGGCCCCTGCGAGCTTCCGAGACGGTCACTTGTGACGGGACTAGGCAGCCGGTCTTGCTCCAGCAGCAGCCGCTGACCTTGCTGTCAGTAGCCCAGCTCATAATCACTGCGCCACCACGGCTCCTGGAGCCTATATAAGGGCAGGGATCATTACCCAGCCAGATCCGAGATCCCAGCACCTGTGAGCCCGCCCCTACAGGCCCCGTCTGGACCCAGTCCCCACCGGCCCGGAGGTTAGCATCTCCTGCTGAGCACTTCCTGCGCGGCCCCCAGCTCCCCGCCCTGAACCAGGGAACAGAGACACAGTGTCATGGGGCCAGTTCTGTCTCACAGGGACCCCGCTGCCACAGAACGAAACAGCCCGGGCCTGCGCCATCCTCACACCGACGGCCACGTGTGCGCCCGTTGCTGTCGCCACGAAGCCAGTCCTGGCGGTCTTCTCGGTCACTACCCTTTGCCTTTACGCCACATGATGCCCTTTTCCAGGAACGGGCCTCTCCTGAGACACTCGCCATCCTTGCTTCTGAGAAGCATTCTGGGAGTACTTCTTCCAAGACAGATTGGTTTGTGATTTGGGCAACCCAGGGGACTTTCAGTACCTTGTAACGATGTCACTGGAGTTAGGCCATGTAGAAACTGCCCAACGGGAGCCTGAGTTATTGTTTCCACAGTAAAAGATTACTTTTACAAAGAGGAGGACATGAGCCCAGCATCCAGGGCAGCTGAGCCAAGTCCCCACCTGTCACATGCTCGGCCTGAGGCCACCTCTCTGTGCTTGTCTCCAGGTCTGGTGCTGAACCGGGACCGGAGGATCGCATGGGTGAGTGCCGCCCTCCTGGGCCCCTTCATGGGTTGCCCTCTTGTGATCCATCATTGGTCAGCCTCCCTGTGGTGAGGGCGGGGCCTGCAGAAGATGGGACACACCAGGGCCTGCTCTCTCTGTGGGAGAAACGGACCAGCCCCAATGTAGACGGCAGCACACACACCAAAGCCCGGCACCAACCCTCGCACCAGCACTTATCACCACGGATGTTAACACCAAGACGTACCAAAACCAACCAACACCGACACCACCAAAGCCTCAGGCTGGCATCTGCGCTGCCCACCAGGTGTTCACACCGCACACATGCCCACATGCACGCACCTCCAGCCACATCCCTAGTGTTGAGCATGCATTTGCTCAGTTTGTCCTCAGCCACCCTGGTGGTCGGTGCTGCTATTCCCACGTTTTATGGACAAGGAGGTTGAGGCAAATGGCAGGGTCTCATTTCTGGGCCGTTAGAGAGGCAGTTAGTCTGCAGGGGGTGGACAGAATTAGGGTCTCCTTGAGTAGACCCCTCCACAGCGACGGCTGGTCTCAATCTGGATGAGACAGTAAAAAGCAGGAACTGGGGTAGGGTGTCCACCCCGCAGAGAAGAGAGTTCAGTGTTTCCAAGATGAATGACAGGAAAGTGGCAGGGCTACTCTCCGTTCAAGGGCGGAGCCTGTGAGACCTGGAAAGGAGGCCAGCCCACTGAGTTCCGGCTCTCACAGGCTCCTGTCAGCCTGACACCCGGCTCATGTGTCTTGTAGTTGGTGTAGCTAGAGTGCTGAACCGGGAGGGAAGGTGGGCCCCGGTGTAAGAAGTTGGAGAGGTGCAGAGGCCGAACAGCATTCCTGCAGGTGTTCCTGGAATAGCGGTCTCAGGTGGGGCCCCTTTGAGGCTGCAGGCCTGCAGGTATGTGGACAGTCCTCCAGCCCCAGCCACAAAAGTGTGGTTAAAGCCAGCCTGAAGCTCTGTGGCACAGTGGTCAAGGCTTGGCCACTAATCAGAAGCAATGTGGTTCGGACTGATCAGTGGGTCAGCATGAGGCAGGCATGGCAGTCTGGTATGGCCAAATTCCCAGCTTTGGAAACCGCACAGGGAAGTTCTACCTTATCTTAAAGGGTCGCTGTGAGTTGGAATCCACTGGGCGACCATGTTTTGGTGTTTTGTGTGGAGGGAGTGGGGGCTGGGGAGGGGAGGCCTGTGTTAGCTGTTGACTGAGAATGACTGCCCCCATCAGGCCCTCTGGGCTGCAGGAGATCCTGCTGGCCCGTCTGGGCTCTCAGTACCTTCATTCTCGTCCGGAGTTTTCCCAGTGTGCTCTGTGACAGGAACCTGTTTCTGGAAAAGCACATGAGGGTCTTGTTGCCAGAGGAGCAGGAAGTGGCTGGTTGAGGTTCAGGGCAGCACAGGGGACCCCCGCTTTCATGGCTGTGTGACCCACTGTGTGTTGGCAGCCATGTTTTGCTGCTGTGTGGTACAGGAGTATGCACTGGGCTTGCTCCAAGGTGTCGGCCTTCTGGGAGCTCCCTTGTGACGGAGCCTCCTGTGGCCCTGTGCCAAGTGCTAAGACTGGGACCATCCTGAGAGCTCCTGGCCCCGCAGTTCCCACCACACCTGCACACAGCCCAATGGCGTGATGATTTGACAGCTTCTTGAAGTAGTGTGCCCTGTGGTGGTGGCTCCATGCTGCTGTGAAAGCCCCAGCACCAGTTTCAAGTGCCAGCAGGTCGTCCCCCGGTGTCAGGTTTCAGCAGAGCCTACGGACTAGGACGAAGGACCTGGTGACCCACGTCCAGAACTTGGCCTGTGAAAACCTTCAGGAGCCCAGCAGGGCTCTGTCCACTGTTGTGCTGGCAGATGAGCCCCTCAGCTTTGACAGGGACCCCACTATGACTGCAATGGTGGTCTCAAGCCTATCTGTCCTGTTCGATGTGAGGCCGCCGGGCGTGGGTACCAATTTGACGACCAAGGGGTGAAACTCACTTTACTGCCTTTTGATTCCTGTACCTCCACGGAAGTCACTGGTATTTAAAATGGCTGAGCTGTGTCGTGGTTTCCATACTGTTCTTGAAACCCAGGGCACCTGTTACACTGCACACACACCTGTGTTCCTTGTGACCTAGCTGTGTGGCAGGTGTGGACTGCTGCTAGTGTCAGACGGTGCCCCCAAGTCAAGCACAGCTGTTGAGCCTAACCCCTGGCTGCCCTGGCCCTGTGGGACAGAGTTGTGGCCTCAGAGGGCTCTTGGCTACTACCCTTAGGGGAGCAGACCACCCACCACACCCTTGTCCCTCAGGGCAGTTGGTGAGTTCGAACTGCTCTTTCCACGAGCCTCCAAGCATCTAACCCTGCACCACCAGGCTTCATGTGGACACTGCAGACTAGGGTGGCCTTGGCAGGTCTGCTTTAGCATCCAGTGTGGGGAGGTGGTTCAGTGGGCATCTTGGCCATAAACTCTGCCCCCAACATTCCCCAGGCCCCTTCTGTCCTGAGCCACAAGCTTCAGAGGAGTCTGGGAAATGGCATCTGGGTCACACAGCCTAGGGTTAAGGCAGCTTCCCCCCAGGACTGGGGAACTTGGGTCTGGCCCTTGCTCACTGTGTCTCTTCCTGCAGCCAGAGCTCGGCTTCGACTACCTCAGCAGGGAGCTGGCGCAGCTCGTCATCCACAAGCTGCAGGCCCACGTCCTGTTGATCAAGTGAGCCACTGGGAGGGACCCCCGCTGCATCCCCCCCTCCCCCTGCCGCCCAGTGCCCTGGGCAAGCATTACACACAACCCTCCAGCCAGCCTGGTCCTAAAGGGCCCCGCCTACCTTCCCAGGCAGACTGCATTTGCGGTCGCCACCCCCACTGCCTGTGGCCCTGGCTCCCTGCAGCATGCTGGGTGTGCAGCAGGGGGCCCAGATTGTGGGTCTGCCAATCCATGGCCATGACTGAGGGCCAGCGCAGGGGGAATGCTGGGGGCCTGGGCTCCCAGTGGGACAAGCCCTCAGATGAATCTCAACTCCATTCTCAAGAGCAACCCAAGGCTTTAGCAGTGTGAGGAGGGAGGACATGGACATGGAGCCCCTGCTTTTCACGATCAACTTGCTTCGGACAGTGCTGAAGGAGGTGAGTTGTCTGGCCCCTGCACACACCCCCTTTACTAGGCCTGTGGGACCCCTGAAGCCGTAACTCAAGTCACTGCCATTAGGTTGATGCTGACTCCAGAGCAACCCTATAGGGAAACGTGGAATTACCCTCCAAATTTCTATCTGTAACCACTTATGGCAGTAGAAAGCCTCATTTTTCTCCCAGAGCAGCTAGTGGTTTCAAACTGCTGGCCTTGCAGATTGCAGCCTAGAATGTCACAACTGTGCCACCAGGGCACCTTCCTAGCGCTGCTGGGTCACCTCTCAGGTCAGCACAGGAAACAGAGTTGGTCGGCAGGCCCTCCCAGCTTTATTGTCCTTCGCTGTTCTCTGGACCAAGCACAATTCGGCCAGGGCAGCTTGGCTTCCTTAGGCTCCAAACCTCGCCGAGGCCCAGCTCTAGATGCAGTGGCCCCAGGAGGAAGTGGGCCTCATTGTGGAGAGCTTGCGCTGACTTGGACCCTATCAGAGTCCCTGGGAGCACCTGGCAGCTCATGAGCGCCACCCACTGCCCAACACTGAGCAGCCTTGGTGGTGACCTGGAAAAGGGGAGTGCAGCTCAAGGGTGGAAGCCAGCTCAGCCGAGTTCCCCGGGAGACCCTGAGCTGAACTGTATCTCAGCTGGGCCCTACTTGGCCCAGGTGTGTTGTGCTGTGACACCCTCCCCACCCCCCATGACTGGCTCAGGTCAGGGTCCCACAAGGAGCAGTGTAAGGAGCTTCCCCTGACCCTGGGTGGGCGAACACCTCTGTGGGCCCAGCTCACCTGGCGCCTGCCTCCCACCTGCCTGCAGCGGTTCCAGATTGTGGAAACCCCCGGCAACCACTACGTCCACATGAACAAGCCCCAGAAGGTGGCAGAGATCGTGGGTGCCTTCCTACAGGCCCAGGAGGTGGCCCCGGCCTCCTGAGCCCCAGCCGGGCCGTGGTCGAGCCAGCACTGCGTCTGGCACGTGCAGCTCAGGTGACGAAGCAGCCCAGGTGCACCAGTGGAGTCAGGCCTAGCTGTGACACGGACTTCAGTGGGGGACATGGAGACCAGATCTGGGCTTCTGCTGCCCAGCAGGCTGGGAATAAATAAACTGGTGTCCATACTGCTTCTTGGCCTCTCGTTCCCTGTGGAATTGAATTCCCTCAGACCTCAGCCACTTGAGGAAACACGGGTGGGAGGGAGCTTTCTTCCTGGGCAGGGAGCTCCTAAGGGCCAAGTCCTCACGCTGGGCAGCTGGCCACACCAGGGCTGGGAGTGGCAATCCTTCCCTCCGGTGGGTGTGGGCTCACGGGAGCTTCAGAGATGGGTGCTCACCGGGGCAGTGCACCCATCCCCCAGTGGAGATGCGTCCTCTCCCCTGCAGGGCCTGCCCCCCGGCTCAGTAGGGACGGAACTTGCGCTGGGCCCGCATCAACTCGAGCCTCTGTTTGTCCTCCTCAAACTTCTTGCGCAGCTGTGCCAGATCTGGGGGGAGGTAAGAGAGGCCGCGGTCAGTGTGGTCCCGGGAGAGGGTCACTCTGCTGCCCCCAGAGGGGCCCCGGGCTGCCCTGTTCCCACTGGGGAAAGACTCGCACAGGCAGCGGGCCTCTGTCCTGTGCAGGTGGGCCCTAGCTGGGGGAAGAGCGGCAGGCTTCACGGAACTTCCAGGCCGCTGTGTAGCGGGGTGTCCTGGGGCCGGGTGGGGCGGTCCCTTACGCTCCATTTTGGTCTCGCGGTGCTGCCAGGCGTAGAAGTTGAGCAGCTCCTTGCGGGCGCGCTTCCGCTTCTCCCTCTCCAGCACGCGCAGGCTGGCGGCCTCTGTCCGGGGCAGCGCCGACCGGCGGCCACGGCGGGTCACCTTCACCCAGCCCTCCTCGTCTGGGACTCCCTCCTCCTCCTTGGCTTGCGCCTCCTCCTACAAAGAACGGGAGTCTCGTTGGCAGTAGGAGCGGGCGCCCAGCACCTGCCCCCTAGTCCGCAGTGCACTGCCCAACGGGCAACATGAGCACAAACGTTGGCACACCTCTGCCTCCACGGCTGTCCCCTAGAGATAGCCCTGGGCTGACCGGGGGCAGGCTGCTGCCCCACACCTCCACCCCAGTGCACCATCTGCCCCCTGCCCCTACCTCAGCCATCTTCTGGTCATAGGCCTCCATGAAGGTGTCCACTTCAGCCCGCAGGGCCTCAGGGTCCAGCACCGAATCTGCGTACTCGCTGATCCACTCTGGGGCAGGGAGACAAGGTCCCTCAGGCCCAGGCGCTGCCTCAGAACGTACCAGGAGTCAGGATAGCCCACCAGGTGTAGGTGGAAAGGAAGATTCTAGTGCTGGCAGCTGGGTCCTCCCCCTCGGGTGCCCCCCCCCCCCACTGTGTGTCAACAGCCCAGGGAAACAATGTTGCCCTACATGCCTCAGACACCCACAGCCTCCCACTTGCTGCACTCCAGGGAGTGGGCAGGCATGCTTTCAAGCCCCGAGAGGCCCACCCTGCCAACCCAGGCCCAGGGTCAGGGAAGAGGCTGAGACCCGCCCCGCCGCCGCCGCTGTACTAACTGTGGACACCAGTTTTCACAGGGTGACTCTCTGTCGAGATCAGCAAAGGGCCCTTCAGGGCTAAGGCAGCCACCACTCCACCTGGCTTCTGGAACACCACGTGGGCTACCTGGAAGCCCTGGGGAGGTGGGGTGGGGGGCACAACAGTGTAAGGGGTCTCTCAAGAGCATGGCCCCGGCCCTGCCCCCACCGATGCAGTGCTGGGCTGCTGCTGAACCAGAAGATACACGGGATGTGAAGGGCACACAACTTCTACAGTGACCCCGGGTGAAACTCCCCGCGGCCTTTCTCCCAGTTTGGGGAGGGGCACGATGAGAAGGGGCGTCCACCTAGGGCCTGGCAGGCAGGAAGGCTGGGCTGTGGATCCAGGGGCCCGAGTGGGTGGAGGGCTCCTGATGCCAGGAGAAGGTGGGCTGGTGGGGGGCAAGGAAGCACCGAGGGGACGACAAGCCCCTGGAGATCAAGTCACAGGGGCTGAGGAAGAGCAGACTTCAGGGGGAGCCCCCTGAGCAGGGGGCAGGGATGGCCACTTAGTGTTCGAAGGGGACAACAGGAGAAAGAAAGCCAGGCAGGACATGAAAGTGGTGGGGGGCTGCTGAAGCTCACAGCCCTGCTGGCTCTTCAGGGGCCTAAGCTGCAAGGAGTGTTGGAAAACCAGGGTCCTGACAAGCCCCCACCCCCACCCCTCACGTTTGAGCAGAGGCTTACCGGAATGGGCTTGGGGTCAAAAAACTTCGATGATGGCTCCTTTGGGCTCTCGGCAAGGTCCGGCTTTGCCTGCAACTCCACAGACTGGACGGAGCCGCAGCAAGAGAGGAGGCGGGACAGGCACTCCTGTCCAGAGAAGCAGCGTGAGCACCGGGGCATGCAGGGAGAGCCGCTCTCTCCTCTCGCCGGACAGCACGGAGGCCTGCAGCCCGGCCCTCTCAGAGCTCTTGACACAAAACCTTGTCAGCTTTTCCATGTTACAAAACTGGGCCCTCCCTCACAGAAGGGTCACAAGGCAGGGACATGCCAGCCAGGGCACAGCATAGCACACAACATTCTTCTAGTTCTTTAACGCTTCCTCCTCTCCCACTATCATGACCCCAGCTCTACCTTACAAATGCAGCTAGACTGGAGCATGTACACTGGTTCAGATCAGAGCTTGAAACACAGGGGATCCAGGACAGCTAAACCCCTCAGAACAGTAATGGAAGTAGCAATACCATGAGGATAAGGGGAAAGTAAGGGGAGAAAAACGGGAGAACCGATCATAAAGAGTGATGTATTGAACACTCCCCCACACACAGGGGGACAAAAACAGAAACATGGGTGAAGGTGTAAGATATGAAAATAATCATTTATAATTTTCAAGGGGTCACAAAGGTGGGAAGATGAGGGAAGGAGGGAAAAAAGAAGCTGATACTAAAGGCTCAAGTAGAAAGAAAATGTTTTGAAAATTGATGTTGGCAACATATTTACAAATGTGATTCATACAACTGATGTATGGATTGTTATAAGACTTGTAAGAGCCCTCAATAAATGATATATGTATATGCACATATATAGATTTTTACTAACCAACCTGGGCCAGAGACTCACCTCTCATGGGTGATTCAGGGCAGAGAAGGTGGAGTGTGGGTTGCCCAAGGTAGACCTTCTAAGGCAGCGGTTCTCAACCTGTGGGTCACGACCTTTTTGGGGGTCCAACGACCCTTTCACAGGGGTCACCCGATTCATAATAGTAGCAAAATGACAGTGATGAAGTAGCAATGAAAATAATGTTATGGTGGGGGTCACCACCACTTGAGGACCTGTATGAAAGGGTCACGGCACGAGGAAGGTGGAGAAGCGCTGCTCTAGACAGGGCTCTGCTCAGACCCTGTAAGCCACCAGGTCTCCACTTGCCTCCGGGAGGCTTCTCATCCTGAAAGGCCGGTTTTAGGCTTTCAGGGGCCACATGTTTGCCAGGACCTCAACCTCTTCTACCCACCAAGAACCGTGAACCTCCTCCTCCTTATAACATGACTCTCAACTTTAGGGGAGTCTTTCAGAAATTAATTTACCTTTTGGGAAAAATTAGGACCTAAAACCCAGAATTTCAGAGTTATGGAGGAAAACAGTCAGCCTTGTCTGGACGGCAGAATCAGAGCCCACTGGAACGCTCCTCTCCTGCTCCTGTTTGTGTGTTAAACCCTGGACAGACATCACTTTGATCATCCGAAGGCAAAAACTGAAAACCCGAGTAACTCAACCCCTCCTCCCCTCTAACTTCAGCTGTCACAAAAAGCTCTAGCTCCTTAGAACGTTCTATTTGAAGATTCTGATTCCAACCACCCCCTTTAAAAAGCCCCACCCATCTTTAAAAAGCCCATTTCCCATCACAGCAACCAGAAGAACCCTCTGGAGCCCCTCCCAAGTCCAGAGCTCCATTCCGGACAGCAGCTCACCTTTGTGCAGTATGGGGGCACATTGAGGACGAAAAGGGTCCGCTTCTGAGGCCAGGTAGACGTGGCTCCTTCTCGGACGCTGTGCTCTCGCACATACAGGTAGTGAGACGCCTGCTGCTTCTCCGAGAACTTGACGGGAATGGCTGGCAGAGAAGTGGGGCCAGGCCGGCAGCGGTGGGTCAGGTTGAGGCTACACCATGCCCCCCCCCACCACCACCACACACACGAAGCGGAGGCCAGCTGAGCAACCAAACTCCCCTCCTCTATGTCCCCTTTAGTCCCATCCCGGTGTCCACACCCCCATTCTTTCCACTTGGCGTACGTGGGTGGGGGTGGGGGGTGCTGAGATGTTGAATGAGTGTGTGTGTTTGGAGGTGGGTGGGGTGTTACCCAAGGGGGCTTCAAAAAGGTGGTGGGGGAAAAATCCATTACCTTTCAATTCTACTTTTCCACAAACTTTTAAAAGTTCCCTGTTACATAAAAACAAATCCACTGCCCCTTCCTTGGGCTGTGAAGTTTACAGGAGAAGGCAGCTCTCTTCTGCACAGCGGACCGGCTACCCTTGCAGTTAGCAGACCAGCACTTAAGCCCCTGCCCCCCGGGCTCTCCGATGACTGCAGGTGGTTCCTCGCTGCTCTTGGGGAAAGCACATCTCCTGGGGGCCCGCGAGGTTGGCAGGACCCACGCGGGGCCCTGCCCCGGGTCAGCAGTCAGTCGGTCACAGCACTTGAACCTCCCTCTCGGAGCTCCTCTCGTTCCCTCTACCTGGATCGTGCCCGCCCCGCGTCACCTCCGGAGGAAGGGGTCACTGTCACCCCCCACCCCTCCACCGGCCGGGGCCCTCCGCTGAGGGTCTCTAAGCCTGGGCGTGTGGTTTTCTGGCTAGTGGCTAGTGTGTTCCTGCCCGCGGGAAGCTTCAGGCGTGACGGCGATCGCGCCGCGGGGCCGTGCGTGGGCACATCACCAGGCGGTGCGAGTCATGGAGGGATCGGGGAGCACGGCGGCAGCCCGCGGGCCGAACCCCAGGCCGGAGGCCGGGGCGTCAGAGCCGGGTAGCTCGGGGGGCGGAAGGCTGGGGTTTATGGTGGGCGCCGTGGGAGCGAGCCACGCCCCGGCTCGGGTTTTCAAAAGAACATTCTGACGGCTGGAGAACTGCGCGCGGGGCGACCCGGGGGCGAGCAGCTGGCCGGGGCTGCAGGGGTGAGGGGAGGCGGACGGGCGGGTGCAGACAGAAGTGGGTTCGCCCCGGAGCGGGTAAGGCCACGCGCGGGGGGATCGGAGCACGCCGGCCCCAGCGACCTGCCGACGCCGCCCGGCTTCGCGCGGCCGCTCCCCG